TAGTGCTTTATTCTCAGTCATTGATCATACGCTTTCACTCATATGCTTACCGAAAACTTGGTTGACATCACACGACGGCGTCCTGTATGCAATGTCTGGCTATGCATTGTCATCGATCGTGAGGGTATAGTCGTGGTGGCGGTTCAGCTATTCTTGTTGAATCTTCTGTACCTCATCGGCGGTGACTTGACCTGTCATTGAACCCACCACTTTGTGAATTTGTTCGCATTGAAATTGGCCGCAGGTAGCGGGATCGAATCCCGGCTGCGGCGGCTGCATTTCCGATTCTCAATTCTAATACCTTGTTGTTCCATTTTCAATTCTAATACCTTATTGTTCTTCTTTCTGTCGCTATCATTCGGAAGCTGTTTACCTTGAATGAAATAGCGCTTTGTACGTCATGTTTCGTTTCGGTTTGTTCGCAAACATTGGACGCAGATTCTTTCGGACAGTTCGAAGTTTTCTGGAGTTTGCACTTTTTTTTCCTTTCAGCTTTTCAAGCTTGACAACCAGCGCAGTCCTTTTGGCAATTGTGATTAACATTTCATTTCCCGAATCGCAGAAGTGTAGTAAGCTGGCTCAGTTTGTATATCCACCTTTCTGTGCACCCGCGTCTCTGTTTTTGCACTATTTTATTGTGATAGCAACTATATGGACACACTCAGCGGGTTTTTCTGTCACCAACTTGTTCCGTACAAAGCCCAAATGTGATATCACCCCGCTCATCTTTTGTGGTATGCGCGCGAGTAGAAGCGCACATGCACTGGTGACAAACGCGGCTGAAGCAGCAATGAAAGGCAATCTCCGTCGCGCGAATAGCGCATGCGATAACATACCCCCGCGTGCCGTCAATGGCTCCTAAAACAGCGAGAAGAACGCCCCCTCTCGTCCTTGTCTTGTAGAAGAGCATCAATGGGCGCTGTTGGAAGGCTGCGTCGTTTAAACAGCAACTGCGAACTTTGACCACAAGGGCGCTGACCTGAGCTCTGGCACGCACATTATCTCGATCTAGTAAAGTTGATCTCGACAGATATCAGTAGACCCTTGTACGTGCTGTGTGTGCTTTCCGCGCGCTTACTTCGCGTTAAAGGCCAACTCCGGTGATTTTTTGACCACGCCAAGGTTATGGTGTTTCCATGTTCTTGAGACACTCTCGTCACGAGCCCAATAGCTGAAGTGCTTAGAAAATTCAAAAAAATAATTTTAATAAGCAAAAAGGTGCAAAACCGAAACCCGACTGGGTGCCCTGTTTGCGTGTGACGTACTATTTGCTAAGAACCGGAGGCCGCATAGGGAATCGAAGCTCAAGTTTGTGGAGCGAAGACAACGCCGCGCCTGGCCCTGATGGAGCTCACCGGAACGAGACGCTCGCTGTGTGAAGTTGCCTTTCCGCGATGGAAGCGGCCCACGGAAGCGTCGCCGAGGTCCGAAGTATTGTGTTGTCGGCTGCCACAACAATGCAGAATACACCAAGGGACGCTCTCCACGTGTAAAGCTCTATCAGTTTCCCATCTAGTCATATCCAGCGAACACAGCCGCGTTCGCGAAAGATAGAGCCACGGCCACTGGATGAAAGAGCGCACGGGTACCACCCGCCGCGTGCTCCAAAACCGGCGTGACACGTCTAGTTCCCGGATGGATGGATGGATGGATGGATATGGCTGTACCCTTTAGATCGGGCGGTGGCTAGCGCCACCAAGCCGTAATACCTAATGAACCAAAAACTATATTTATTTTTTTTTTCCTTAAAAAGTGAGTTTGAGGATTTGTACTTTGCAGTGAATAGTTTAATTTTCACTCGTGTCTTGACTTTAGCCACCAATCAGATAACCTCCTTCTGGTTAAGTCCACCCGCTTAAAGTTTATTTTGCCCTCCCGGTCCCTAAACCCCAGTGCTTTGAAAAACTCGGCGCCATCATCCTGAACTATAGGGTGAAGCCCTTTACAGAACATTATCAAGTGTTCGGCAGTTTCTTCTTCCTCTCCACACGCACTGCATACTGTGTCTACCCCTTCGTATTTGGCTCGATATGTCTTGGTTCGCAGTACTCCCGTCCTGGCCTCAAACAGTAGAGAACTACCCCGAGTATTATCATAGATCCTTTCCTTGGCAATTTCCTGCTTAAAAGTTCGATAGCTCTCTAGTGCGGACTTCTTAATCATGCCCATTCTCCACATGCCAGTCTCCGTTTCTTTCTTCTTAACCGATAGTTCTTTTTGGTTTGGCCACCTGCTGTTTTCTAAGTATTTACCAGTCAACTTCCTGGTTCGCTTCCTCCATTTGGTATCGACATTCTTCATGTACAAGTAGCTGAAAACCTTCCTAGCCCAACGCTCTTCCCCCGTTTCTCTCAATCGTTTCTCAAACTTTATCTTGCTGCTAGCTTCCCTGCCCTCAAATGATGTCCATCCCATATCACCTTGTACTCCCTGATTTGGTGTATTCCCGTGAGCTCCTAAAGCAAGCCTACCTATTCCACGTTGCTTAATTTCTAATCTTGCTTGAACTTCTGATCTCATGCACAAGACCGCATTGCCGAACGTCAGCCCAGGAACCATGACCCCTTTCCATATTCCTCTCACAACATCATACCTATTGTAATTCCACAGTGCCCTATTTTTCATGACTGCTGCATTCCTGTTACCTTTAGTCGTCACGTATATTTCGTGTTCCCTCAGATACTCGGTCCCATTGCTTATCCATACGCCCAGATATTTGTATTTATCTGTTTTCTCTAGCGTGACCTCCTGTATTCTAAGCTCACTACCTTCGTTGTCATTGAAAATCATGACTGCTGATTTTTCCTTACTGAATCTAAAATCTAACCTATCTCCCTCATTACCGCAGATGTCCATCAATCCCGAACCATCATCCCGAACCACCGCTGCAGCGCCACCGGGGGGCGCTTGCGGTAGTTAGCACGTGCATCTGTGTGCGACCCGCGAAATCTCCTAATATTCGTCTAGCGACGCGTGTGCCCACCAGGTAATTACCGATCTTGCTTTTACATACCTGCAGCCCTTGCTAATTTTCCGTATTGTTTTGCCCGAGATGCATGGAGCCTTCCACACCGACCAGGTTTCGCGGAAGTAGAATTGTGAGCTCATTTTACTCGGATCGTACAAGATCACAACTAACTGGTCTGGAAGAGCTGCACCTTTCTTAATGCATCGAAATTTTTTATAGTAAATGTGAGTATGTCGCTTCAGAAGACGTAGCTTCAGATTTAATCATTTCGTTTAGAATAAACAACCTCGGCAATTGCAGTTGTCACTGTTCATTTAACACAAAATAAGATAGACTTTTTACTTCCTCCAAACACGCCTTAGTATTCATACAATACAGTATCAGATGCGACAACCACGAAATATACTTAGCATGGCCCCGCCCCGGTGGTCCAGTGGCTAAGGTACTCGGCTGCTGACCCGCAGGTCGCGGGATGAATCCCAGCTGCGGCGGCTGCATTTCCGATGGAAGCGGAAATGTAGGCCCGTGTGCTCAGATTTGGGCGCACGTTAAAGAACCCCAGGTGGTCACAATTTCCGCAGCCCTCCACTACGGCGTCTCTCATAATCATATGGTGGCTTTGGGACGTCAAACCCCACATACCAACCAACCAAATATACTTAGCATGTGTGCGATCTCTTAACAGTGGACTCGAGTCTCTTTGAACTTTCAGTGACCGCGACTTCAGTGCTGGCAATTGAGCGAGCAGTTATGAAGGGAATATGAATACTGTGAGACGAAAAGAGCGATGAAAGTTTGGAAAATGCGAGCACAACTGTTTGCGTCCCTGCGCTTTTGAATGTTTTTGTCTATTTCCGTCGCGACATTCTTAATGATAATGCAACTTATTCAACCTTACGTTCGAAAGAAATTGCGTAAAAATATTTTATTTACTCTCAATTAGGAGCTAATACTGGCATTTTTTTACATTTTTTTACATTTTTTGTACTTCTTTGCACCTTTGCTAATGAACCAGTTGAAAATTGCTTCACAGCTTCGTAGTTGGGAAGTAAAAACAGCGCACAAATATGGACAAGGCCAGAGGGTTGATGGATATGTGGGGTTTAACTTCCCAAAACCACCATATGATTATGAGAGACGCCGACAAGGCCAGCTTCCTCTGTCCTTGTCTATATTTGTGCGCTGTTTTTACTTCCCAAGTATGAACCACCAACTAGCCCGACTTTCGCTATTATTACAGCGAGGTAGGCGATATTTTTCGGGGAGAATATCCGAGTGAGTTTATATTAGTTGGCGACACTCACTCACACGCACAAAAGGTGTCCCGTTCAGCGGCCGACCAGCATATGTTTACGTTCGCTCCCCCACAACCGCTGGCTGCAAACGTTGTTACATCCAGGAGTTTTGACACAACCTCCCCGTTTTCTCGTATCTCGTTTTTTTTTTCTAAATCCCGGCTTATCTCTAATTTTCTTCAAATGCTTGCCTTTAAGCCCTTGACACATTTTTCGTTAATTCCAGTTATCTCCGACCCCCATCGTGCACCTCCCGCAAGGCCATGTGGAACTGATGTTCGTTTTCGTAAAACAGCTCCAGCACCCCTTCCAGTGAACAGGTTCGGCTGTGTGTGGTCATTTGCGGAACAGCACACAGACTCAAACTTACATCTGCAAAACATTCGAAGGCAAAAAGGTGCCGAAAAGCAGCTGGTGGGCGACAAGATTTTATATTTGAAACATATAAATAAATAAATATATATATATATACTGATTTTTTTCTTGTATTTTGAATTTTCTAAGTTGAATAACTTCAGATTGCGTGCCGTTATCACTGCTGTTTATTGCTGCATTAGTCTGCACTTGAGCTTACGCAACCCGCGAATGAAACATGTGGGGTCGAATAGTGTTGGTGGGCTCCTTTAACATTACCGCCAGCTTTCAGGATTCAGGAACTCGTTTGCAATGTTCTAAAACCTTACTTGCTCTGGTTTTCAAGTAAATGCGGCACATGGACACCAAAAGAAATCATGAAATTTTCATAGAAACAATAATTTTATTGTTGCTGTATTTTACAATACTATATATGTACAGAAATAAAATAGTCTATACTCTGCTTTGGTCATTGTAATGTGCCTTAAAAATAGAATTAAATAGAACATTGCAATATATATTCAGCTTCAAACTTCTCATTCCTGCCCTGTACAACATCAAATGAGTAAAGTGTGACAACTCTGAAAACACCGACATTACAAAAATTCCATCAATGCAACAAACAAACCGAGGCCGTTTAGGCCCCTGCGTGCAAAGCTGGGTAGCAATTGCAAATACCTGCGTCCATGTTAAATCAGCTATGGCTGTTGCAATTGCAAGACTGAAATAGATGTTTAATTAATGTGCTGTAAAGGTCATTGATATGGCATCTTTACAAGTGAAACTTGGCCACAATTTACAACAATGTAATTACGACATTACATTTCATCCACATATGCAAAATCACTTTACAGTATATTATGCATATTTTCTGGTAGTAAGCAACACGCACTTTATGGAAAACTGCAAGGCCCTAGAGTGGTTGCATCTACATGCTTTCTTAACTTATCAAATGCAAAAATGGATCTTTCTTCCTTCATAATTCAGGCAAACTGTCAGGAGGTGCAAACTCAAGGGCAAACACAGTGCATACACATGTGAATATACCAGATAATGTAAAAGGTTGCAGCCTCCTTTTTTTACATGCCTTACACCATCTGTTCCCATTAGAAAGTAAATTGGCAGACAGATACTGCAACAAGATATGTGAATTAAGCCAAAAATATGCAGAAAATTGTGTGGCCAAATTGTGGTGATGTGCCATATAGCAGAGTTCAAAGGGCCAGTTTGCCTGCATGCTAAAGCATAGGTCCGACTTTTGAACAACCACCACAAGCTTAGTATACTTTTTTCTTACACAATTATAGAGGCAAAAAAAAAAACAAATGGAAAGAACACCAGAAAAGTTGCCTTGAGTCTAACAGCTTACAAAGAAAACTGCATACATGTGTAGGACTACCAATATTCAGATGAACTAGAGCGAGAGAGTTCCCCATGGTCAAACTTTTTACAGTGAAGCTTAGGCTTTTCATCATAAAAATGAAATATTGTTTCTTATCTGTGTTTGATGAAGGGTAGTACAACAATTATCATCAGTAAAAGTTATTAAAAGGTGTGCTGTTTCACACTGCCAAGTAGCTTCGGAGGCTTTGTGGCGGGGATGAGAGTATTACTTTTCTGGGTTTCAACTTCTTAAGGAAAAAAAATAATGGCATCCTGCAAAGTAAAAGACAAGTGAAGCATTGTGAAGGCAGTACGTAGGGCACCAGTTTGCACAGGAAATTGTCAACGACTTCACTCTTTTAGTGTTTTATTCCGAATATTCAAGCCGAATGAAATCGGTAATAAGAAAGCAAGAAAATATTTGAGCAACTTTACTTTAAAAGCTAGCTTGTATAATGACAGGAAGTCTGCTAATACATGCTTTTTAATGTTTTCAGGTTCCATATCAAATGCTTGGCAAATGCAGCTTCCAAGCATAAATAATTATCAAGTCAACAACCATAGCAAAAGAAAATATGCATATTCAAACCCATTTCTCAGAGCCATATATGCTGAAACAAAAGCTGTTGAAAAACAAATACAACAGCATCTTACAAAATGCTGAAACTCACGCCATGTCAAGGCATCATTATTATCGCTTTCTTGCATGACTAGTATGTTAGGCACTGATGACATGCATGATGACCTGTGGGTTGAGTAATGTGTGACCCTTATTTGCAATTTTCATTTATCTACAAAGTAATCAAGACACTGTGTGATATATTACATGAATGTGATATATATATATATGCTCTGGCAACCATGAGCAAACATTTCTGGAGCCACATCATTCACTGGCATACATGTCGATGTGGCCACATGGTAGGAGAAGACATTCCTATTTATTTTTTTGCCAAAACATGCCCAAATAACAGTTCTTTTCATTGTTACACTCAGCAGCTTGCCAGTGACTCTTTGAATGTGGCCTTTTACCAGAATGCTAAGCACATGTCTTTGGTCAATGATATTATACAAGCAAAATGAACATCTTCAAACAGCAGACCATGCCATGAGAGAATTAATTGCACACATCTACATCTCGATCTGCAAAATGCAAAAGAAAGCTGTACTGCTACGACAAAGCAAACCACTGCCAACAGCAGACCCTCTCTATCTTCAGACATATTCAGGAAGAACAGTTACAAGTTTGGAAACCGATTTACAAGCTAGACAGCCCTTGTGCCTACATGAATTCAGTATAAAGATCTTGCACCTCCAAACCTAGTGCACTTGTTATAGTCGCAGAAAATGACAATATTGAATGCTCTCTCTGCAGCATGATGGACACTGGTTGGTACAGAAGTAATGTCTGTCTTGGCTTTTGGACTTGTGGACAGGTGCCATAGACTATGTGAAATGATTTATTGTGCACATTTCAACAAAATCAACAATGCTGGCCAAAGCACTTATATTACATGAAAAAGCCCATGATTTGACATTTGCTGCTTCTCCACATGTCATATTGGTTGTGTTTCAAGCACACATTTTGCTTTTCTCATGATGATACATCACACTACTGAATTTCAGATGTAAAAGCAGTTCTCATAGTTGTTGTACGATGGCTTCAATGTAGGTGAATGAATAGCTGCTGGACTTAACTCGTTCCTTGAAACGTTGAGGCGAAAATTGAGATGACCAGTCATGTCTGTTTGGCATGTCCAAGGTAGCTGCAGTGAATACAAAGGCACCATTCATTTTTTTTTAATGAAATAACACCAGAGACATGTATATGGTGACTGAAGCCTTTCAATTCCTTTCTTATTCATTCTCAACTGTAGAATTCATTACAGATACTTAAATGCATAAGAAATAATTTGCATATTTATAACAACAAAACTAGCCACTTACTTTAGCAACAGCACAACACTCTTTCATTTTGACTTAGAATATAGATGGCTTCCATAAAAGTGCTGTAAGCGAGCCCAGAAAATGTGACGAAAAATTAGAGAAAAAAAAAAGAACTTTTTGTGATAAAATTAAGCAACTGCACCCACAGTCTCTGTATATATGCAATGCACCCACAGTCTCTGTATATATATCTTTAGCAAAATTTTTTTCCCTTGTTTTTCTGTACCTCTTTCATTTTTGAGATGATTGGTAGTGATGAAGTAAGTAGCCAAAATCAGGTGTCACATGTAGCATAGAAAATGTGAAAGGAAGGAAACCATCTTGGTATCTGTCATAACGCTGAAGAATAACAGCGGAGCTAACCTGGCGTTTCTGATGTGTGCCCTCCTGATTCCGTCTGAGGTGGAAGGCAAAATGCTCTGGAGATGGCCAGTTCTGCTGGATCCTCAGGGGAAGCTCATTAGAGTGGAGTGCTCTTTCATCTGCATTAAAAAAAAACAGACAGAGAAGTTTGATTCAGGACACTACAGAACCATAAGTTGAGAGAATAAATAGACTTGCTTTGTATTGCCCCACCTGATTAATACGACATGATGTGTTTCTTGAATGTAAAGGTTAAAACTTGAAAAAGGTACTGACACCTTTTTTCAAAGGGGAGTTTATTTTGCCATACAAATCTCCTGTATACAGAGACGGCTCTGAACACAAGCGAGGCTCAGAAAATGCTGGTAAGATATTTTATTTTGATAATAAAGTCAATTTTCTCACGGCATACCTACCAACATCGACACTAACTTGACGTCAGGCTACAGTGCTAATCCTGGTGACTTCATGCAGCAGCCTGGCACGTTGTGATAACATCAAGCTCCAAAACACTAAAACGACAGTTGCGCATGACCCTCTCGATCGTCTACACCAACCGACTTCGACACTAATAACTTAACGTCAGGCTACAGTACTAATCCTGGTGACTTCACGTAGTAGTCTGGCAAGTTGTGATAACGTCAAGCACCAAAACACTAAAATGGCACTTGCGCATCACCCTCTCAATCTGCTCGTGCTGTGCAATCACTGTCATTCAGCGTACTACCTGTGAAGCAAGCTAGCAATGTTTGGAATACAGTGTCCGTGCACACAAATACAATATATACACTTATCAGAGGACGAAGAAATCGTTTGATTTCAATTTGTCGTAATGGTATCAATATTTAGCCCTGTGAATTAGCTTGCACTAGTGAAACAGCAGACAGCAGGTGCAAGTTCCACCGATTACAGTGCGATACGGTGCTGAGGCAAGCGTAGGTCGACCTCGTGCACCGAGGTTGAGGCAAAGACTGAACGCCAGCCAAGCAGAGTTTACTCTGTTCACTTCGGATGCATACGCACACTACATGCAGTTGCTGACTGACTTCGAATTGCCGATGAAGAGCCTACACCTTAAAAAATGTTGGACGCGTGGTGCGATTCAGCATCCAATTTGGTGTGCCACAGTGCCTGCGGTGTACGACGATTCACAAGGAGAACGAGCCAACAGTGCTCGGTCTCCGCCCGGCTCGTTCACCGCCCACATATGGCACCTCAGCTTGCATGCTCGGAAGACATAGTACCCTCTTCTTATAAAGCACAATATAAACAACTTCACACAGACATGCTTCGTTGTCTAATAACATTGCCAACAATGCTATGGCTTCGCGAGCAACGAACATCTCCCCAGCCCACATTCACTCTCGATTCCGAGCGTAGGTCTAGCAAGGCCGAGAACGTTCGCGATAGCACCGCTCGCTTTCTAATGTGAGCTTATTGTTAATCGCTTTTTTTTGCCAACACAATAAAACTTGTACACTTATATGACGCTTTTACACTTGTAACTGGTTTTCTCGACGACCTCGATGTAAAAAGAAAATGTGGGAACAAAGCAAGCTGGTTCCCCAAGACGGTCGGTGCGACTGCCTTTTTACCTGAGAAACGGCCTGCTATCACGGCTCAATACAGTACACGAAACCTTTAAGAGGAGTTTTGTTTTATTGAGAGATGAACAGCGGTACAATATTCAAGTAGGAAACCAAACATATTAGTGCCAGTTGCTCCATTCAAGCAGCGATTTCATTTAAGAAAGTTTCGTTTAATGGGAGTCTACTGTATCTTGTTGGTGGTTCAAAAACGAAAGTTGCCTTACAAAAATAGCACACTTGAAACATCACTTTATTCAATCATGAGTTATTTCCTGTCATAAACAGTTTATCCAATGTTTTTCATGCATTCAATCACATCACATGCGAAACTCTCCATAGGCTCCATGTGTCAAAATTTGGACACGTTATTGCCCCCACCAACTGTCGGGATTGAGCAGACTGTCGCACCACCTGTTGATCATGACACCTACTATTAAACACATTATTTGTATTTTGTGTTGCTACTCTCGGGGGGGGGGGGGGGGGGGGCAAACGTCAGCTAACTCCCGAAAAATTGGGCCAACTGAACTGCGTGTCAAGATTTTGGAATGCAGCTTCGCAACTCGTATAATTGAATAATGCTGGTCAGGGCTGTTAGGGCGGCAAGGAACAAACCTACAATGAGTGCCTACCAGTGCATGGCGCCCCTTAATTGCCGCGCTTCTGCACGAATGCGGCTGTTGGCACGAACAACCGCACGAAAAATCGCATTCGAATTCGGACCATGTATCCAGCACTAAAGTGATGCCATCCAAACGTTGAGCCTGTCTGCTGCAACCATTGCCACACATGCGGGGAACAGCAGACGAAGCAGACAATCGAACAAGTGAAGTGCTGATGAGGATACGTCATGAAAACGTGCGCGTACACATACTACCGCCTAGTGGTGCTGCTCTTACCATGTCGTGTTGTCAGGTTACATTAGGAACCGAAACTAGGTTTTAAAAGCATGCTGTAGTTTTTCTGGGCGCACACAAGCTTATCGGTACGTTTTCTACGCTCTTGGGTGCTTGGCCCATCATTGATGCAAAAACACAATAACTGAAAATTTTCGTATCAGTACCCTTTGAAGGTTTCCACAGCAGTGCACATACAAGGTGTTTTTCTGAATATTACCATAAATTCTTAACTATATTTCCAGATAAATAAAAATGTTTCATCAAAAGTAAGCTGTCACATGCGACTGATGTCAATAAATGTCAGTCAAGCTAAATGGTAGTCAAGTCAGAACTTAACTAGTATTCCAGAATAATTTTCAGTCAACAAATTGAGGAACATACTGCAGCTGATTAATTGTTTTCTCGAGCGCAAGGATGAAGGGGTGCATGAAAGAAAAGCTGATAATGTTGAGGCTCTGCTCAGCTGAAGTATCGGAATATACTAGACCAGGAAGGCGCAACGAACGCATGCGCTTACCCACGCTACTAGCGCAAGCAGGCTACACGGCACAGCACTGAGAGCCAGAACATTTTACGAATTTCAGATCTGGCCAATAAAAAGTTGTTTTTACACTTTAAAAAATTGCAATAGCTTGTGCATCTTGCACAAATCTTAGTGCAGCCTGAGATTATGCGTACAGGGCCACATTATTTTCTATGAGCAGATAAAGGCAGGAAACCTAAGCTTTGTGTTTTGACTATACCAGCTCTCAGAAGGTTGGGGGGGGGGGAGTGCAAGGGGCAGGCAGCCAAACTTTTTTGGCCTGTCCGCCCCCAGAACCACCTAAGACGGTAGCTTCACAGCAGAAATTAGAAGATTTTACAGTTTAGCTGGATGCAACGTGTAGAATTCAACATGAGAAACAAGTGATTCTTTATTGGCTGAAATAATTTGCAAATACTTTACATTTCCACCATCCTACTGCGCACAGACCTTTGATTGCGCACGATGACTATAGCTGCTCTGGAATTGCATTTATTGGATTCCCTGTCAGATTTCATGAAGTTTTAAGTAGGGCGACGTTACGAACTAAATAGAAGCTCATTGCAGAGCCCATGCAATGACAAGTATTTGCACAGAAGCTGCAACAGAATATTACATCCTTTCTGAGTACAAAAGTTAATATGATTAATGTCCATGTATAACTTCGCAGGTCAAGATAGGCCCAATTCAAGAAAATGAAATATGACAGAAATTTTACAGGATCGGAAGAAAAAGGAGGAAGAGGATAGCGGATCGCTGAAAGAAACTGGTCAACATGAGCAGCGCACGACGTATTGAATGCTTACAACTTTTGATGGGGCACACTTCGTAGAGAGAGTACTTGGATCCTCGGTCACTGGAGTTGTAGCAGTGAAGGACAAGCTGAACCACTTCTTCCGCTGTTGTCCGTTCTGATACCAGCAGGCTCTTGTACAGGGACTGATGGCACATGGGGATGAAGAAGAAAATGAGGTCATGACAACATGCAGCCATGCTTGAGAATGAATTCGTTGAATTCGACATAAAGTGAATATTTCGAATAATAATAAACAACGAACAAAACTACTTTTGCCTATAATTTTCTTTAGGAACTAAGGTAATGACATAACTGCAGAGGCATAGCCAGAATGCAATATTGTACAGCCCCCCCCCCCCCCCCCTCAGAAAAAAAAAAGATAAATCTAGCAGCCTCCATCACATGATAACTAGTGTAAGACAATGCGAGACAACACCCGTCTGAGCAATAGTTCACTTCCCAAGTCAAGGTCATGCTCTTTCCAACCGGGGAAAAAATAAGTAAAAACCGTCAAGTCATGTAATTGCAAAAGAAAAGGTAAGTTTTGAAGAAAGAATTTTTTTCAGAAAAGTTCCAAAGAATAATAAAACGAATAAAAATTTTGCAGCTCAAACGTTATGTGTACCTTTTCTAAACACGCTGCATTTATGTCGCACTTACTATAGGCAATGCTGAGGTGCACAGAAGCCACACACGAATGACGTATACGTGGCGTATGACAGCCAACTCAAATGTTATGTGTATCTTTTCTAAGCATGCTGCGCTATGTCCCACCTACTATAGGCAATACTGACGCGCACAGAAGCCACACATGAACGATGTATACGTGTTGTATGACAGCGATTTCGAGAAAATAAACATAGATTTTGCATGCATAAGTGTCTCCATGACGCAGGGCTTTCATACGGAAAATATCATGCGACAAAAAAAAAGAACATAAAGGCAAGAACGAAGTGCCAGGTACGCTCTTACCACCAGTGTACCAAGTAGAATAAAATGGAACTCGCATCATAAATAAATCACTCACCGCACTAAACGAAAGGAGAAACACCATCGGCCAAGCGTGCCCTCTTCGCCGCGCGTACCAACGCAAACACAACTGACGAGACACGATAGTGCGACTTGTGCCAGGTGCGCAATTGTAAATAATAATCGTACTCTGCTTTTCACGTGCCAAAACCATGATATGAATAGACAATTATAGTATACCGGGCTTAGAGGGATAGCGGGCTTACCGTGATAGTGGGATTGAAGTGTGCATGCGCAGATACGTACATACATTACCCGTACCGCTAGCCGTACTCGCGCTCTTTTTCAAATTTAATGGCCAACTCTGGCAATTTTTTGAAGTCAGTGGATCTCAATGAAATTCACTGGGTACATTTATTTGCACATTTACGCCATTCATGCCAAATTGCAGGCCTGAGAGTTTCGCAGATTCTTTTCAAATGAATTTTATAGCTTGCCTCGAAACGCTCACTTCGCTTGCCAGAATTAATGGCAACATTGTGTGTGTGATGTTCGAGTTTTGTCTGGCGGAAGTGACAAACTGATGTGCCACTGCAGTGTCTGCTTTGGATTGTGTGGGTTTGGCCGGTGCTTCCTTGGTTGGGCGTGCGATTTCCTTTTCCATGTTGGTGGGTGTGCGATAGGTGCCAAGTGGTGTTGCGTTGTGAGCCGCACACGATTCGCCATATATTCACCATAACAGGGTAAGTGTTTTAGTCGATCAACGCGGACGACGCGGACAGGTAGTGCCATCTGGTGGGCATCATGTGCAATCATGCAGGTTCCGGGAGTGTCAGGCAAATCTTTACTTCACACGTAGAAGCGCACTGGGTTGTTTTCGGTATCTCTAATGCGGTTTTTCGGTAATTAAAAATTATTTTCGAATTTTTTAAGCATTTCAGTTATCGGGCGCATGAGAAGAGTGTCTGAAGAACCTAAAAGCACCATTATTCTGACAAGGTTAAAAAATCGCCGGAGTAGGCCTTTAACGTTAACGTGTTAGCGTGGTGTACATAGTGGACGTAAACACGGTGGCACTTTCGGATGCTCACTTCAAAGTGATTTTGGTATAGTGATTGAAAGACTCACTTCCTTCGCAGGAAACGACTGTTTTAAATTGCTTTGTTTGCCTTCAGTTGGCTTCAAAGACCGAGTATTACAGATAAGCTAGCGTGATTTTAGATATAGCTTCCCATTTCGAACCTCTCTGCGCTTAACTAGAAGATTGATGTAAACTAATTGGCAACATAAATGTGTTTGTATTAAGTGTGTGGTTCATGGTAATTTACTTCTAATATTACAAAAATAAACTAGTAACAATAACTCGCTCGATGCAACAGGCAAACATTCTGGTTTTTTTTCTTTCCTTTTCACTGTTTTTTTTAACTTGTGAACCCTCAAATTTAGGTGGCGCCACCATACCAGCTGGGGCACGTAAACCACGAAAATGTTCTCGCGCTAAACTATAAGACGCCGTCCACAGCGAACGTTTCCTGCACGGTAATGCTATTCACCGAATGCCCACTATCACGCTAACGGTAAACTATAACTGTCTATTATTATGTACGCAGTAGTGGAGGGTTCCTGAGTTTCCGACCATTTGGTGTTGATTAACGTGCACGGGCATCACAAAGTATACACGGGCCTCACCCCCATTAAAATCCGACCACCGTGGCTGGGTTCGAACGGGCGACCTTCGGACCGAGCGCCACAACCACTGTACACTGAGGCGGCGCGTCACCGGAACGTGATCCTAATACAGCGCTACATCGCTAGTTTCGTTTTACAGTATACGCACCTCGAAATTGAACAAACAGCGCACGCGTGACACGACTTCAACCGACTAGTAGAACACCGATAGCGTAGATATCATATTGGCGCTTATAATTAATTAACACTTAGGTACAATTATATGAGTTGGTTTTTAACTTGCTATACCACCAAAATGCGCCTACGTCAGCAGATCACAGTATTTCAGTACGTCATCCCTCTTTTTACATAAGATATCCTGCCCACGGGCTTGTCTCATTATTCAGTTTTTTCTATTTTTATGTTAGCACGCACATGTTGGCAAGCAACCGTAGCCACGCACCGAATCATTTCAACTTTTCCTAAACACCTACGCCGTCTTAGCACCAGAAAGTAAGCCTACGTGGATACTTACACCTGCCATTAAACAGCTGTCGTAAACTTTGACCAGGCCTCCTCGCCTCATTTGAAGGAGAAATCTGAAACAGAGGCAACGATAAAATGCTTAGAATGCACAAAAGCATCGCGCGTAAGGATCTGCGCGCGATGCTATCCCCTATCAGAACATCCCCCTAAACTATCCCCTAATACAGCACATCACTTTAGTCTGCGGTCAACTTAATAACGCTGGGTTATGTTGCATGCCATTCAAAATCAAACGCACTCGGTTAATCTCTCGCGCTGTCTGGAGGGGATTACAGTAGTGACAACTTTTTTTTTTTTGGAATCTCGAGACTGAAGTAAATCTCTTTTTTTTTCTTTTTTTTTAAGAGCATGCCTTGAAGCAAAGACCAGTCGCGGTTAGGAAACCCTGCTCGATCACGAGACTGCAGAGGAGCACTCACTTGGAATCGCCCTTGGGGTGACACGACTGCAGCTCCACGGGGCGCGCCTCGTCGTCCAGAACCATGATGGTTCGAATGGGGATGCCCGTTTTGCGCACCCACACCTCCATGGTGAGGTAGAAGAGATTGGGGTCCCGGTGCTTCATCTTGAACTTGCTCAGCAGCAGCCGCACCACATCGGAGCTGGAGGCGCTCGCGTCGATGCTCAGCGTTTTGTACTCCATGTCGGCGCAGAGCACACGCGCGTACACCTTCACCATTGTCTGCGTGTACAATAAGGGCACAATAGAGGGTCACGCACGCTCTACTAATGCGCGTTGACCAACTGCGCATAGACATCGTCATCACTAAATCGAGCGTCACTCACTTCAATATAACCCCGTTATTTCACCATACTGTACCCAATCTTACCAGATATTGGAAGAAGAACATACATGAAAGTGGCACGTATCTGGAGACCACAATGAAGGTGGCGTTCTTTGCTATCACTCGTAGCAAGTCTGACTATTTCTGTATTTGGCCAAGTTATATGATTGGTAATTCATTATTGAGCCCCTCAAATGGTTCGATGAGAAAATTGTAGGCCACCCTGCAGAGCCGCTGGCCCCTGTTCCTGTTTTCCTGGCTTTCTTTCATGCATGGAAAGGAATTCTGTTGCGCATAATATGACAATGGAGAGCTCGATCTGGAGTATTCCAGGATCGCCTACGAGTTCTTTGTTGACACTCTAGTTGTATTACTTGAAAGAATGTATATTTATATTATAATTATCGGAATAAGGTATGGTTGCCTTATAGAAGAAACATCGCATTATTCAAGGAATTAAAATTTTTCAAGTAATGCCTGAACACATTCATTTTGCTAAAGAGTCATATCAACCCTTTTTTTCATGTATTGTAGCCACGTCCATCAAAAGTGGATGACCTTGTGTATGTAAACACCGTCTCAAAGTGTGCGCAGAAACCTTGAACTTGTTTTGCGCGCTCGGTCGACGCGCAGGCCTCCGGGAGCAGCTGCCGGTTCTCACCGAGAACCGACGCGGCACCGCAAATAAATGCGAGCCGCTCTCGGACGAAGTGCAGTGAAGGAACGTTGGGGGAGCACGCGAGGACGGAATTGGCCAAGATTGGCGTCCCATCGCTTGCGGCTGCGTTTCTTGGTCACGGAAGGGACGCGTGAAGGGACGCGCAGCTGCTGCTTCGAGGAGTCCTTCGCACGCCAGTCGCTTCCGGACAACGAACGGGTGAACGCGAGCACGGACCCAGACGCTACGGTCCGTGTCTAGACCGATGGCACAAGGACATCCACGACAGTGGCCTGCCAGCTCTTGCGCGAGGAGAGACAGTGGTCACTGTTCGACCGCGTGAAGTGAAGAATCAGCCAAGCAGAGAGGCTTCCTCCGCGGCTAGCACGCAATTGTGGGTACCGCGCTGTGACGCTCCAACCCCCCCTTCCCCCCCCTATTTTGCTAGTGCTCGGACTAACGCAACAGCACGCAGCTCGTAATGAAAAGTGCCAGCGGGAGCATTATGGCGGGGAGACACGGGTTTTCCTCGAAGGCAGCGCGCAAGAGCGGGCTTGAGGTGCGTTGAATGGATGATGAAAGGACCTGGACGGCTGGACGTTTCGGCAGACTGCGCAGAAGACCCGCGTATACAAGAAAGCGCTCTTAAATCCGTGAAAGCGACACTGCGAAACACAAAAATGACTTTGCGGCCACACGATAATACGCAGGCGCACAGAAAAGCTGGAACGCATGCGCTTTTGCCACCCTTGTTTCCAAAGTGCGTTATCACGTGGCGCTCGGTGAATAGCAAGCAGCGCGGATATTCGTTCAGCAGTGCCTCAAGACGTTCCAACAAACGGCGCGTATGAAAAAAAGAAAGGCACCACGCCTCCCAACGTCACCGGAGCAGCATATACGAGTCGCAGAGATATTTGCGAAATGAAACATTTAGATGTCTGCGTAATGTAGAAGGACAATAGGCGGAAATGGGGAATCCGCGCGCGGCCTGCATTCTAAGGGGGCAAAAAGCAAGCGTATATCGGCGGCGGCTGTGCTAGGTGCGCGTACAATACCGCACCCACTGCAACGTCGAGGTGGACGCACCCACGCTGCAGATGAATCTTTCAGCGATGACTTTCAGCTCGCGGAGTGCGCCCCCCCCCCTTCCCCCCCCCCCCCCCCCCCCCCCCACGGTAGTGTCGACTAGCTCGTTGCGAGTGAAGCCCCCGCCGTGAAGGAAGCGTTGCCCCCGGTCGTGTTTTCAGAGGAGCAACGCCTCAGCGGATGTGGGCCCTCCCGGGCCTAAATCGATCGAGGAGTCCCCGCGCTTGACGACCTCCTTCCCTCGAAAGAGCAGGAAAACGCAAGTGAAAGTACACACGCGCTCTACACGACAGTAGTGCTCCTATACGCATACGCGAAAAAAAAAATCGTATTGTCTTCGGAACAAAGCGTGACTCGGTGAATGGAAACCACGGTCAGCGATAGAAGAATCTAGACAGCCTCGCCATGTACAGAAAAGTTTGCCGTTTGTTAATTTTGGCGGCGGAGGGTTGCCGAAAGAAACGGACACGCATATTTCGAAAGTGATTCACGTGCTTGTATGTTCCGTGACAAGACACTTTAAACACGAACGTAGAATTCTGGCATGAAGTCCGGAGTTCATACTCGAAATTTGAAACCGTTGTGCCGCAAAGGAATTATACCACAAAAAAACGTTTTGTTCCAATATGTTTAAAATCTTGAATCAATGGCCAGCAGCGAGAGGCGCCGAATTCTGTCAGCCTTCCCATGCGCTGCGTTGCCAAGCCCCGTGCTGCAACAACTCGCAGCTTTCACCGAGTCGTTTGCGCACGAGCTTTGTAAAAGGCGAACGATGCGTCCAGTTCGTGCACAAAACAGAGGGGCGAAAAAGTGCCGGCCTATTTGGCGCGCGGCGTTTCGAAACGCTGAAAACTTTTCGCTGGCAACCCTTCAGTGAGAACAGGGCCGACGTATTCATTACGTGTGAGAAATTGTTACGATGCGCACCGAGAGCGCCGACGCGTCCACACAGTCCTCGCGGTGGCGGCATCACTCCAGCGGCTTTTGTGGCGCCTTGGTTAAGAGGCGACATTATGTAACGCCACCGCATAATGACGAGCCGCGCTACAGGCACAAAGGACGCCAGCGACTGCGGATGGATCCTGCCCGGAGGTTGTGAAATTTCCAAGTGGCTTTTCGACAGCAGCGCACGCCGCGGCTCGTACGACTACGAGTGTGCGTGTGGTTGGCTTCCTTGGGGCAACCGTCCAGCCCTGGACTACGCCGCCGACTGCGTCCAATATAGAGACAGCCGGGGGCGTCTCATGCAAGCGGCGGCGCGTGCCCGCAATGTGGGTCACCGCCAGTGGCACTTGCAAATTCATAAGACATGTTCTCGATGACCTGTTCTTGCCGCATCAGCTAACGAAGACAATCGCGCATTTGCAAAGCGCGACAAAAACGAGCCCACAATGGCGCGCGGTGAACGGTCAGTCGTGCGCGTCTTCGCAAACGGCGCGTCCCGCCAGATCGGCCCTGCAGATAGGACCTCCGGGAAGGCGTGCATCCACGGCGACCATTGTCCCAAGCCACGGCCGCTAATGAGCCGTGCTGAAGAATTTCCCCCGGCCCGCCCGCGGTTTTTCTTGGGGGGCACGTGAGACGAACGCCCCAGCGAAAGGGGCGACGGAAGGGGACGGGCAACGTTATGCGATGATGGTGAACGATCCCGTGAGCCCCTTGGCAGAGGCAGCCAAGTGCTTCAACCGACGAGAGAGACTTTCACAAACCGAGCTCGCCTTCGCGGCGACAATAACGGAGACGTTGGTCTCTCCACCTCACACAAAGAGAGTACCACTATGAAACCGGTTACTTCGCCTGCCATGCTTCGTTTCCACAGGTTTAGGAGCAACATTTCAGTAATTCCCCTCTGTTTCTCACTGCGTTACCTATAAGCACGCAGCAGTACATCACACGATTAACGAACATGTGCGTTACAACGAGGAGGGAGGGGTGTTCAATAAAAAGTTAGACGCACGCATTAGGGCACGCATGCAAGCACGCAAAATTTTCATTAAAGACGGACATAATTGCCGCATTCCAGGCTGCCGCGGTGGAGACGACAGGCGACCGCAGGCTCCGTCGACGACCGTTGGAAGACGGAGAGGTCTCAAAATCCGAGGGCAGTGATTATTCGAGCCGCAAACGGCGAAACAGCGAAGTTACGACGGCGACGTTACACAGGTGCCGAGGGCCTGTCGGCTTCGTTGAACCTCCCCGACTGGCCGTTGGCATGCGCGCTCTCTGGCGAGAGCCAGCAGCCAGAGGACGACGACGCTTCTTCCCTTTGTTGCGAGCTTTTGTAATTGCCCCGCACGCGCTCAGCCGTGACGCCATGATAATCCAGCGCGGACTCTGCACTCCGACGTCACGGACGTCTCCGGAGGAGTGGAGCTCTCCTCCTCCTCCGTCGCTTTCCTCCTCCTTCAACCGTTGAAGCCGACCTTCGTGCTCTTTAACCCTTCGTCGCAAGGACGCGCCTGTTGTCGCAACCACAGGACTCGTTTCCCGAGAGCCACTTTTAATGATCGTCGAGAGCGACCAGACAAGAGGACGCGCCTCAAAGAAACGCGTCTAAAAGTTTAGCCTCTTCGCTTCTTTTCTCTCACCATCTCTCGCCACAGCAGCCAATGTAAAAGCACAATGTGTGTAGCCGGCAACGGACAAAACGTGGCAGTGCATTCCAAGACTTCACAGTGCGTGCAGATGGCTGTTCTCTTGGAAGAGCTCGTCATCGGCTTTTTTCCACTTCGCCGTTATCGTCTCAATTTGCACCATTTACGACAAAATCAATGTGTAGTGACAGTGACCGACCTATAGCGTTTGGAACACGCAAATTGGCACATACTTCTATGACACGATGCACCGCACTAAAAAGCCAGCAGATGTGAACTTTTCTCAACTTTATTAAATATTAATTCCGGGGTCTGAAACACGATCATTTTCATACCTGGCCCCTCCACGGAATGCAGTCGCCACGCCTGGGATCGAATGCAATACCTCGATCTAAGCCGCCACCAACCCCGTATAGATAGGAAGCGGCGGGTCAGGTCTCAAACAACTTGCACAAGTTGTGTCACCCGCCGGTTAATTTTCTGTGCTGGTCAGAATGCGATAACGAGTTAAAGCGGACGACATGGTGAACCGTAGCAGTCGACTGTTTCTTTCCCGTGC